GAATAAAATCCAAGGACCTTACTTTGGTCTATAGGCTCTTGCATAGACTGAAACCTATTTTCCTCTCTCTCCTTATTCATACCACTTTCCTCACTGCTATGAGAACCTTCTTTCAATTTCTTAAATATATCATACATACTGTTGATTCTTCACTAGCTTCTTTCATGAGTATCTCCTTTTCATCTTCCAGGTTTCAGTTAAAATGTCGCATCCTTTGTAAGTCCTTACTGAATCATTTTCTCTAAATAGATCCCCTCTTCCTATACTATCCCATTGCTCTTTATCTCAGCATTCGGTCTGCTTTTATAAATAATCCTTTCCATTTGGGAATTATTTGTTTACTGGCTGTTTTCCTGCCTTCTTCGTGATGCTGTCAGCTCAGTGATGGTAGAGACTATCTATTTCATCCGACAATTGTACAATCAAAACCTAGCACAAATTCTGTACCTAATACTTACTTGTTGAATAAATGAATGCCACACAGAGTGTAATGAAAATGACTGACCCTTATGCAGACTTGTATTTTAGAAAATTGCAGGAGTATAACATCACAGCTTTAGTTGAGATTTTAAGCAGTTGTCAAAGTAGGTGAAGGACATTTTTTGAGGAAGAATTGTGTATATAGCCTGCTTTCTACTCCAGTAGGAAACCCACTCTCAGATTTGCTATGATGAATTTCCAATCTATGAGACCTTCGTGAGGTAAAAGTACAATAAAATTGAATTACTAAGAAGTTGAGGCTGGGTGCAGTGGCTCACACCTGTAATCTGGGCAGTTTGGGAGGCTGAGGTAGGCACATCACTTGAGCTCAGGAGTTCAAGACCAGCCTAGGCAAAATGGCAAAGCATCATCACTACAAAAAAAAAAAAAAAAAAAAAAAAAAAACTATTGGAAAAAAAAATTAGCCAGGTATGTTTGGCACACACCTGTAGTACCAGTTTCTCAGGACGCTAAAGTGGGAAGACCCAGGGAAGTCAAGGCTGCAGTGTGTGGTAACTTCACCACTGCACACCAGCCTAAGTGACAAAGTGAGGCCCTATCTCAAAAACAAACAAACAAACAAAACCCAAAAACAAAACACTTGAAATTAAAATAATAATAAAGAAAATATAAGCTTATTTTACAGTTATTTTCAACAGACATAAATATTATCAAGTTTCTACAAAACTTTCTAAACAATGTTGTCTATGTCCATACATATCTCATTAAATATTGGTAGCAAATTGTTTGAAACCAGCACTAGTTTAAGACCTACACTTTGGTTATTGCAGGTTTACTCATCCATTCCTCAAATGGAAGGTTTACTCCTTCCATTTGAGATTGGTTTAAGGTAAAAGGTCTCAAATTCTGAACTATTCTTTGTTGGGTACGCTAAATGCCCAACCTCCTGCAGAGTATTCAGCATTCTAGCTCCAGGACACTAAAAGCCAGTGCCACCTCCTTTAACAGTTATTGTGCAAACCAACACCTTTCCTACCTCCTACCAACCAACGGGGGCACATCAGTAACGCCACCATCCTGAACTACTTGGGTGTGTGGGTTCTGACAGTTGCCCAGTAGTTTTTAGAGAAGGCACTATGGTTATCAGCCTGGGGAGGAATTGAGTCCTAGTACCTGTTCAAGCAAACTAAGCAACTGTGGTCATGCAATTAAAGTGGAGGGTAGGAAAGAATCCTTGCCAAATTAAGCCTGTTATTTTTGAATTTCTACGTATTTCTTGAATTTTGAAGGGGGTGATAGCAGGGCGAAAAAGTCAAATATTACCTCTGGGATGTTAGACAGAAACCAGTTGGTTGTTGAGATTTGTATTACATCACAGCTAGTTTCTCTTTAACTCTTCTAACTCACTTTCTTCACCTAAAACCGTTTGTCTCATCCATTACTTACTTTGCCCCTTATCCATTCCCATGTTCTTATCCTCCTTGATATGTCTCTTTTTGACCCCATTGGCACAGTGCAATGCTATATAGAAGAACATAAGTAAAAGGGGAGGAAAAAATAGCAGCAAAAGCTAGCTTGCAGAGAATTTTCTTCCCACCTTGGGCACTTAAGTAGAGGGTGATATTTATAAAAGATACATCGATCATTTCTCCCTTCCTTGGACTCACCAAGTTACTGAATTTATTCAATGCATTATGCCTTACAGCATTGGCATAGAAAAATTCATTACTTGTGCCACTTCAAGAATGCCCATGTTATCTGAACACAGGAGAGTTGTATAGTAGCTAGAAAGCAGCAGAAATACTTCTAAATCCTTCTTTTAAGGGGAACTCAACATCCTTCATACTCCAAAGGTTTTCAGTCATCTTCCTGAAGATGAAGGAAAAGAGTAGAAATGTCTTGCTTAAGTGTCTGTTGGTGGATCCAAAGGCAAGTTCCATTACAGCCCGGTTCATTTCCAGCTCTACTTCAGAACTTAAGATTTAAACTTTTTCACATCTTTTGAGCCGTGACTTTGTAACACAAAAATGTTTGTCTCACTTATTTACCTCTACCTCCTCATTCAGCCAACATTCTAGATTGAACTGGCTTCTCAAGATTCTTCCATGTGGGAATAATTTTCAGTTCAATTGAACTTGGCAGGACTCTGAACTTAAAACTTCTGGCACTGGAGTGGCCACAAGGCTAGGTCTTGGGGTTGGAGAGTCAATGACGTTAGCTAAAGATATTTATCTCATAATGTCTGATGCTCTGGTCGATTAGAATTCATGTTTCCTTTTCCTTTCCTCTCTCATTTTCCTTCCCAAACCAGGTTGTACACTTTGCAATGTGTTAGGAAGGGGTTGGATTTGTGGATTTAAAAAAGTGATTCTAGAAAATAAGGAGAAAAGAAGGACAATGGGGTTAGCCGTAGCTACCTCTTTTTAAGTTTTGAAGCTCCATTGGGAATTAGTCACAACTCCTTGTCATTTTAGGTTACATTAGTTTTGAATTTTTAAAAAAGTGAGGGGGCAAAGTAAACACATTTAGGAACAGAATAGCTAGCTACTGTTACTGGTTGTTAATACTACTCCCCTGGGATTATTACTATTATTTTTTGTCTTTGTTAGAAAGGAATGTTCTAGTGAAGACTGGTTGCTTGTCTTTAACACTACAGAAAGGATTTTCATGCTCTTATATTGGCAAAGTCAGTTGCTAAGATAAGGAATATATTTTCAAATTTCAGTTGCATTACTCACTATTCCAGTTATTCCACTTGCTCTGGTTTCACAATTAAAGAAATATTGAAATGATGGATAGATAAGACAACAGTGGGGCCTGACCCTGACAACACATTCTTTAATGAACTTTAAGTGTTTCTAGAGTAAAATATACTCTTCCATTCCAGAACCATTAGTGAAAGTCTTAATTCAACTAGAGAATGGAAGGTTTATACATATTCCTTTGACCAACTCATAAAGATGGGAGAACTACATGAGATCAGACACCTTTAATACCGACTTGGGATTTTAACTGTTGCAAATATCAGTGAAATTCTGAGCACCACCACTTGAGAACTGGAAATCTTGGAGAGAGTTTAAAGAGCCACAATGATTATTAATAACCCTGACAAGTTGCAGAAATGGGCAGATAATTACAGGATGAACTTAATAGAAATACGGAGTAATTTAGAGGAAGTAAACTGCTATAAATATAAGTGAGAAGACTTGGCTTTGTGGGAAAAGGTGGGAATCAGTAAACCACAAGTAAAACATAAATTAGCCATATAGTACAGTTGCTTTATTTTTATTATTTTAAAAAACAAAACTTTGTAGAGTACATTAAAGACTGTACCTAAGGGAAAGGCAGTTATCCCTTAGTCATTTATACAGTTATTTATTAAGCACTTATCATGTGCCAGTTGATACTTCTGGGTGCTGGAATAAAATAAGGGAAAAAACCAAGATCTCTCTCTTCCCGAAGCTCACTAAAGTGTGGTAAATGACAGAGGAAGTACTTTCAATGGTCTTTAGTTTGTATTCTGCAGCCAAATGAATACAGCAAATACTAAAACCTACTTGAGGTAGGGATCCATCCTGTTTTTACCTGTTGGATCCCATTCTTCCGTGCCTAGCACACCAGCTCGTAAGCAGTCAACATGGATTAAGGAGTAAAAGCAGGCCCTAAAAGAGCTTAAAATTTGAACATGTAAACACTTGTCTGATCATTAAATATGTAGATCGAAATTCCCAGTTTTTTTCTTCCAAGCGCAGTAAACCAATATTTCTGCCCCTATTACGTGCAAAACAGTTGTCAACACAACGCTTTGTGTGTACAAAGAACGGCGGGAATGGATTCAAGTTGGGCATCGTGATCAATGGCGTGAATACCCTGACCGGGTGGACAGCCCTTCCTCCGTGTTTTTTTTTTTTTTTTTTTTTTTTTTTTGCTTTTTTCAGTCACCAAGACAGCACGCGTGTGCAAAAAACTGCAGCGGTGGGACGCACTGCTCAGTCTGGGGGCGCAGACACCAGCTCGCGCGTCGCGAGCTCGCCCGGGCAGCTCGGCGGGCGCGGCGAAACAGCTCCCACGGCTTCCACCGACTCCTCGGGCTCCGAGCGTACCGCGCGTCACCGCCGGAGCAAAGACTGGGCGCCACAGACGCCCCTCGGAGAAGCACCCGGCCACTCGCCCCACCTCGGGGTCCTCTCGCTCTTGGGCTTCCCCGACCCTTCGGGTGGGCGATCCAGAGACGCCAGTGAAAGGACGATTTGCAAACGGGGCGCGCCCGGCCACAGCCCAGGCATAGCTCAGGGACTTTGAGGCGCCCGCGCCCCTTTGTCGCGGGATCTCGCCCAAGCAGGCCGGACGCCGAGGCCTCGCGGTATCAAGACTCCGTCCGCCCCGCCTCCTCTCCCTCCACTCGGCCCCGCCCTCGCTCTCTCACCCCTCCCCCGCTCCCGCCTCGCTTCCCCGACAATCTCCTCGCGCTCCCGGCCCGGCACGCGCGCTGCGCCGGGCCGCCGCCGCTGCCGCCGCTGCCGCCGCCGCCGCCGCCGCTGCCGCCGAGCGTTCCTCCGCTGCGCCTGGCTTCCAGCTTCGGGCCGGAACCGGAAGTGTGGGGGGCGGAGCCCGGCGGAGGCCAGGAGACCGAAAACGCGGCCGAGCCCGGAGCCCGGAGCCGGAGCCGGAGCCAGAGCCTGGACCAGAACTTGGCCGCCGCCTGCACCGCCGCCGCCGCCGCCCGCCGCCCCTTCCCCGCGCCGCTGCCGCCTTGACCGCCACCGCCGCGAGCTCGGCCGCCAGTGGTCCTGAGACTTTAGGTGTCCGGGTTGAAGGTCGGTCCGGACGTCGGACCCAGTCGGTTCCCAGACTGTCCGGGCGGCAGCGGACGCCGCCGCCGCCGCCGCCGCCTCGTCGCCTCAGCCTGGCGTTTTGTTTCGAGAGACCGGAGAGGCGAGCGGAGCTGACAGTGATTTTGACAGTGATTTAAACCCGCTTTTGTTGTTGTTGGCTTTTCGTTGTTTGGTTTTGTGTGTTGTGCGTGTGTGTGGCGGTTTTTCCCCGTGGTGCATTTTATTTTTTATTGTTGTGCTCTTTTTTCTTTTTTTGTTTTTTAAACCCAGTGAACGTTTTTTTTTTTTTTTTTTTTTTTTTTTTTTTTGGTCTGGGCTTCCGAATATGTTTTATGACGGTTGATTTTACACCAGGAGGTTTGTCTCCGAGGAAGACCCAGGGAACTGGATATCTAGCGAGAACTTCCTTCGGATTCCCCGGCGCCTCGGGAAAATGGGAGCTGCTGCAAAGTTGGCGTTTGCCGTCTTTCTTATCTCCTGTTCTTCAGGTAGGTGCGGGGAGCGCGGCGCGGCGGGGCTGCTCCTGCGGCCGCGGCGGCCGCTGCTGGGGCCGCGGCTGGTGTCGGGTCGGAGAGTCCAGTGGAGCCTGGGGAGGCTGCCAGCACCCCGCGCCCCTCGGCTGCCACCCCCCAGGTCTGACTGTGATCGGGGAACCTCCATGCATTTTTCTCCTTTGGAGTTGGGTTGGCGAGCTGATAAGAGTGAGTGCTGTGTTGTTGTGGAAGTGAGAAAGTCATGTTTTGTGGCCATCACACTAGATGACAGGGCTGGTTGGGTTGCAATTAAGCCGCAAATACCACAAGTGACAATTTATGCAAAGGTTGAGACCTGAAAGGAGTATTTAGTGTGGGCTCCCCTAAACCCAGGGTTGCTTTTTGTCATCTTTTAATTAGTGCTTCACTGGTGAATATCACGACATAAATCAAGTCAGTTGCTGCTTAATTTTGGCTGTGAGAAGCAGTACATCCTTTCAGCAGATTAATCTGGGTCTCCCCTCACGTTTTCTTCAACTTCAGTGTCCAGCAGTGTTAAAAATAGTTGTAGTTGTTGTCGGAGCATTAACTATAACCCACTGCAGAAGAGGTATGCCGCTTGGTGTTCGTAATGTGCTGGTGGTGTTTAACCACCATTTGTGTGCTCTTTTGGGGCATAGATTTTGCTTACCTACGGAATACTTATTTTAAACGCTTTGTATTGAAGCATTGTTTTCGGTTTAGAACAACCCATGTGAAATTGTTTTTGTTAAATATAATAGACTCATAAAATAGGTTTTAGCTCAAGGTTGGGGAAATAATCTGGCCATTTTATATTGGAAATTTCGATTTTGTGAGAACGTTCTGTGGTTGCAACCAGTGGTTGGAAAAACTATCTAGTCTTTTGTATTTGAAATTCTATAAATGAATACATCATTAGCTCAGAGGTGTGCAGTTGTACACAACAGGAGAGTTAGTTCAATAGATGAAACATTTTAAAAGTCTGATTGGATCTATTTATCGTAAAATTTAATATTCAGTTACCAGCTTGTGGTATAGAATTACTGAGGACGGGTGGGAGGGGGGCGAATTGACAGGTTTCATGGCCATGTCTTTATCTCGTTTGCCACAGGAAAATTAAAGGGTGGTAGTCTTCTTTGTGTACCTCTGTGGGGTGTGTGTGTGTATGTGTGTTTGTGTCCGTCTTCCCCAACCCCCTTTAAATAGAATCTTTTCTAATGTATAGAATTTTGCTGAATGGTACATTTCCTTGTGGTTAATAAATGGATAAAGTCTAGTCTTATGTCTGTAGTGGTATTGATCAGTTCCGGGTGGGCTGAATGTGTTGTGAAATGGCGATCATTGCCAGAGATTAACCAAAAGAATCATGTCTGTTTAAATGGAAGAAGGAACATGCTTAAGGCAGGCTGACAGTTCTTTTTGTGCACGGTTTGGGGAGGAAGCTAAACAATGGTATGTCTGAAATGAATGAAGGCCTTGATAACATTAAACATCTTGCTTTTGTGACATGATTTAACCATGTAGTTTTTATCTTTCCAGTAGTAGTCTTTTTTTTTTTTTTTTTTTTTTTCTGCTTCTATATGTTGTGGTTGGTGAACTCCTCTTGTTCAAATCCCTTGTTCTGATCTCTTGCCCTTGAGGAGGAGGGGCATCATGGCCACTGACCAAGGAATTGTGGACATTATTCCCTCCCAAACCCACCTGAGTCACACTAATTGGTGAAGGAGGTTATTCTTGAGCAGTCTCAAGGTATTACTTCTGGAAAAGCAGGCTGTCGCTACAGCTCTTACAGCTTCCTCTGCTTGGTTTGGTAGTAAAAATAACTGAGCATTAGTTTCTTGTGGGATTATTTTCATTGGGCCAGGATTATTTTCAGTGGGCCAGGAGGTTAACAGCTATAATTTTGAAATAAAGTGATTTTGTTGCTATAGGGCATATAGATATTCCACTTATATTAAATTAATATTGTGTTGTTGCATAGGCTTTTTAAGATGAACATTCCCAGTTGAACAAAAATATGTGGTTCTGTTGAAGATAATTGAAATAATCTTAAAGGCCCTAATCCATATTTACACATGAAGAATTTGAGTACTTAAAATGTCTGATTTTTAAAAAGCTTTTGTTTTGGATCAGGTGCACGCTAAAAAAGGATTATTGTGTTTCTCCAACTAATTGATTTTTCTACAAAATGTGTAATCTGGCATATTGGAGGCATGAGGTGACTATTTTTATGAGAATTTTAAAAATTCTCAGTTTGTCTGTTTTTCATTTCTAGATACTTTATTTCTTTTTTAAATCAAAATGGGAAACAATAGTAAGGAACAGTTTTGTTCCAGGTGTTTAGGAGGAATGTTTACTATTTCGTGGACTCTGGTTTTTCAAATTCTATCCCATGATATGTATTCTGGAGACTGATTATGCAGACTATTCCTGTAGGATATGGCCAAGTGTATAATTTCTTCCTCTTTCTGATTCCAGGGGAAACATTTTAAATTTTGCCCTCATCCTGGAGTGCCTTCAGATTCTCTTTGATTTTGAATTTTTTCATTCCTCTCATACCTCCTCAGATTCTGTTTCAAAACATAAATCTTAAGTTTTCTTTTTATAGCATTGTCGTTAATTTGTATCTTTCCCCACAGTTTGTTAAAGTATGAGAATGACTTTAATACTTGCCTTAGTACTTAGGTTTATCCTATCTAGAGTGATGCAGCTATTGTGGTATTTGAGTTGCATTGAAGTAAGTTGAGAATTCCTTTGGATTTTGTGGGAGCTGGAGCAGTATGGTCAATCTATTTGATGAAATAGGAAATGGAAATATGGTAATTGTGTTACATTTTCTTCAGTTTAGCTAGGCAATACTGTGTATGTGTGAACGTATGTGTGGTTGGAGGGAGAGTTGGCAGTACAGATAATCTTTTGAACTTTGGCTAACAAGTGATGGATGTTAACACTTTGTTTTCTAAAAGGCAGAATCTCTTATAAATGCTGTTTGTGGTCAAATTGAAATATATACATTTGAAACATGGAGACCAGAAAAAAAATGGAACAAAGTTCTCCTGCCATTTATTTTGCATTTTTTTTTTTTTCTATTTGTGATCTAAGCCGGTAGTTCTTAAGCTGGGGTGATTTCCCCCTCCTTACCTCCCCAAATCCCCATCCATGGGACATTTTGAGACATTTTTGGTTGTCACAACAGGGGGCAGGGTGTGCTACTGGCATCTAGTTGGGTAGAGGGCAGGAATGCTGCTGGTTGTCCTACAATACACTGTACAGCCCTCCACAACAAAGAGGTTTCTGGCTTAATGTGTCAGTAGTGTAGAGGTAAAAAACAAAACAAAACAAAAAAAAATTCTAACAAAACCAGATACCACATGTTCTCACTTATAAGTAGGAGCGAATTGATGAGAAAATATGAAAACCAAGAACAGAACAACAGACAATGGGGTCTACTTGAGGATGGAGGGTGGGAGGAGGGAGGTGAGCAGAAAAGACAACTATTGGGTACTGGACTTAATACCCGGGTAAAAAAATCTGTACAGCAAACTCCCATGATATGAGTTTACCTATGTAACAGACCTTCACATGTACCCATGAATTTAAAATTTTAAAATTTAAAAAAAAAGGAAAAACTCAGTTCTTAACTCTTAATATTTAAAAGCATTAGTTTATTATTAAAAGGGTTTTGCTCTCTTCCCCCTAAAGTTTGTAATCTATGTTTTACAAGTACATGGTATTGATGATCTCCAGGTGACCTTGTATTGAAAGTTTTTATCTTTTCGTTATCTTTTAAAATTAGAATATGATTACATTGGAGAAACAGACTATAGATATACACATTCTTTCATCCTATTATTCTATAATAAAAATATTTTGATGACTTATGGATAAACTCTCCCATCACCTATTTTGATAGAGTGCTCATGAAGACTGAATGTTAATGGACATGATGAATGATTGGTTAAGGTATCAAGTATTTGCCTTAGAGTCAGGATTTTCTTTGCCATGATATGATCTTTAAGGATATTTGCGTTTATTCTTAGTGACATCATTGGGCTGCCTTGTGGTGGTATGTGTGTGTGTTTAACATGTTGCCTGAAATATGTTCACGATTACATGTTCCCTGAATGGTTTCAAGGTAGAAATTCTGTTTTTTAAAAATATATATATTTCTTTTGTCTAACTTTAATTTCAAGAAACTTTAACCTAATCTCTTAGTTACGTAATTTTCTTGAGAATCATTAGCTGGGTTCGGTTACCATTAGACTAATTTATGATACAGTAAGTAATATTTTATGATCTATTGCAGATCCTTTCCCTTTTTAAGGTTAAATCTTGACCATAATTAATAAAATAATTACCTTGTTTTGAACTCTGGTTTTAAGGAAGTTAACCCAGCCAACCAAGATAAGAATTACAGTGAAACTCTTAGCAAATTAAGTAGCACTATACCATAGAGAGGAAAATTCTGAAGTCATTCCCACAAATGGTATCCAAATGAGCCTCATATTGTCTCTGTAACACACCTCTCCATATCCTTCTCTCTGATACTGACATTTTCACCTTTTGGGTCCACCGGATTCACTGTTCTTAAGAAGTGAAGAACAACTAAACCAAATGAGATTTCAGTACTCTCTAAATTGTTTCTTTAGATTCTAAGACTATTTTGTTGCATTTTGACATTTTAAAGTGCCACTCTGATTTTCTCATCTTTGATATCTCCTAAGTCTGTGATTTCAATTTGTCTTTTCATGGTCTGTATGTTGCCACTTGTCATATTGTCTCAGTTTATAGGTAAGGTTGGCAACATTTGATACCAGGGTCACTGGTATGCCTTCACTTTTTGCTTTTTGCTCTGTAATTCATCATTTCTTCTGTTCTCTTTCATTATAATTCCCTTTCCGTTTTCCTCCCTTCTTTGTCTATTCCCTTTTCTTTCCCTGACCCTTCTTTACTTCCTTATACTACTTTGCTTGTGGAACCCAGTCATTGCCTAG